GGGGCACAGCCCAGCGCCCGGGCCACCGCACGGGGCTGCGATTACAGCCGGGAGCTGCTGTGCCAGGCTGCCACGGCCCTCAGGAAAGTCACCAGGTGCAAGAAAGACTACGAGCTCTTCATCATCAACTTGCAGAGCCTGCACGGCAAGACGGTAAGCGGGAGCTGCAGCCTCCCCGCTCACCACCCCACTCTGCGGCCCCGGCCCCCGGCCGCTCCCGAGCACGGGCCCCGCTTTGGAGCCAGCTCCCCAAATGTACCCACGGGGCTGATCAAGCCGGTATTCGTTATCTTGCACAGGGCCAGACCTGAGCATCGCAGCCCTGCGCAGTGCTGCAGGATAACTTGCCTCCATGGCAAGAGGGTGAACGTCCCCGCCGGCCCAGGCCACCCCAGGCCAGTGGCCATGGGGGTGATGCTGCTGGGCACAGGGGCCGGGTGCTTGTCCTGAGCAAAGGACAAATTCCCAACCTCCTGGGGCAGCATCCTCACAGCTCTTAACTGAATTATTCACTTTGGGAGACAGAGGCAATGGAAACAAAGCATCTGCTACCCGCTGTCTTTGCTGCTAAATTCTGCTGTCAGCTCTAACGCTTTTGTGCTTCTCCTTCCCCAGAACTGCTCCCTGAGCAATGAAAACGAGATCTACCTGCGCCACTTCTTGCCGGAGCTGGGGAACTTCACCCAGGGGATGTACAGGCGCCTGGCCACGTCGGCTGCGCAGTGAGACGGGCGCCGCTCTGGCGAGAGCCACCGCTGCCAGCCCCGAGCCAGGGACCTTAATGCTGGTAGCTCTTAAAATAGGTTTTGCAGAGTGTTTTTTTTTTTGCTCCTCATTGCATGCACTTCCTCAGCTCTGCCCCAGCCCTCCTAAACCCAATGCACTCCTAAAAGCAAGTCCCCGCAGGTACGCCAGGCCCCCGGCATCGCTCAGCTGCCTGCCCAGGACCAGGCGATGGGAAACATCCCTTTCCCGGCGGGCGCCTGGCATCTCCCAAGCTTTCTGCCCAAGTGTCGTGTGTCAGACATTGCTCAGCCTCTGCAGGAAAGGTCTCATATGGATGATGCTGCCCTTCGCGCTCCCTCGCAGCCCTGCGGCTCTTCCAGCCAGCACGAGGCGGGATGCAGCCCCTCGGGAGGGACGCGACCCCCCAGGAGGGATGCAACCGCCCCCAGGAGGAATGGATGCAACCCCTTGGGAGGGCTGTGACCCCCCAGGAGGGATGTGACCCCCTGGGAAGGCTGCAATCCCCCAGGAAGGCTGTCAGGAGGGTTTGCCTGGCTGGGAGGATCTGGGCGTCACGCCTGGACGGGGCAGCCGAGGAGGTTGAGCTTTTAATTCATTCACCTCCTCCTGCAGCACCTACCAAAACCAAAACCAAATTATCTGCTTCCTGTTCCTCTTAATGAAGAGAGGCTTCTTCATAATCATCTTCCCTTCCTAAAGAGATCAAAATCTAGGTAGAAATGATGCATTTTTCACTAACGACTTACTACAGCAGCTCGGGGGGGACTCCCCGTGGGTGCCCAGTGGGAGCGGAGCTGGGGAAGTGCAGCATCCAAGAGCAAAAGCCAGGAGGGGAAACAGCAGAGGGAGGGGGCTGCCTCACTGCCAGCCAGATGCAACCTTTAATGGGTCTTTTATATTGTCTTCTAAGTTATTAGTAGTGGTGGGCATTTAAGTTATTAATAGCAAAGGCCAGGAGAGTCTGTAGGACAACTTTGGATCTAATGGGTGCTCACTGGCACCACCCTTCTAGAGTTTATTTATTATTATATTTTATTTAAATAACTTATTTTTATACTGCGTAATCTAAAGATTCAAGACTAAAAAGTCCTGGCTCTTGAAAGCTTTCCTTCGCTTGGGACCCAAAACAAAAAGGAAAAGCTGGTCTTCAGAATAGCTGTTTTATTTTTTAACTTATATAAGAGTAGTTCTATGGGATAGAGTCGTATTTAAAATACCGCTACCTCATTCTTAGGGAACTATTACTGCCTAATCGCCTTTCCACGACAACAAATGAATGTGTGCTGATTCGTAATTTATTGTTCTTCCCTCTATTTAAAATATTTGTATTACCAGAGAGTTAATATATTCAAATTATCATGTATTTGGATGTCTGTTGTTTTGGGTTTTTTTTCTCATTTCAACTTTGCACTGATGTTATAAAAGTGTCTCAGGGCTTAAGCAATAAACTACTGAACAACGAGCTCTTGGTGCCAATGGTTTATGCTGCCGATTCCCCTCTCCTTACCTTCAGCAGTTAATGAAGAACATCGGGGGGTGCTGCCTCCTTGGTTGGTCGGCGCGGGGGGATGGGGTGGGGAAGGATGGCATTTGGGGTGGGGAAGGATGGCATTTCTTGGGGCAGCACACAGCAAATCCACCCAGCCTGCTGTTGAGAACAAGTTTTCAAGAAAGCAAAAGGCACCAATGGACCTACCCAGAGTGGGAGAACACGGGGCGAAGGGCAGGGCTGGAGGCGGGGGGGGGGGGAGTCTGTGTTTGGGAAGAGGGCCTCGCGCACAGGGCCATGATGGAGGGCAGTATGTCAGGGCGCAGACCGTGGGCCAGGCCGGCAGCAGGGCTGAAATGGGAGCCAGCAGGCGGCAAAGCGGCGCTGAACGCAGGCGAAGGCATGCTCAGCCAGTGGGCGAGGGAAGGGACAGGGCCGGCTCAGGGGACGAGTGCCTGCTTGGGTGCTGCCAGCAGCAGGTACACAGGTAGGGAAGAAATAGGCAAATGGTCTGTTAGAAATTGTTATAAATACAGGAAATTGCTACAAATGCACGTGACGGGGCATTAACTGCAGCCTTTGGATTTGCTCTGGATAAACCACAGCGTTATTAGCACCCGCACCGGACATGGCAGGCAACAGAAATGCATGAGAACAGCAGAACGTCCCTGCTGCTGCCAGCCAAACTTCACCCCAGGCAGCAGGTTATGGCCAGGCGAGGCCTCGGGGCCCTCTCTCAGCGGCTGTCCTGGAATCACTCCGGTTTGGGGCAAAGAAGAGGGGGGAAGCCGAGGCGGTGGCTGTGGCTTTCAGCGGACCCCTGGGCTTGGTGCCTGCATGGTCGCTGGTGCCAGGAGCCCAGGCAGGATCTCATGTGATGGGGAGATCATAGAATGTTTGGGGTTGGAAGGGACCCCTAGAGGTCATCTAGTCCAACCCACAGAGCACGAGGGGGAGAATGGCAGTACAGAAAAATTGAGGACACGTTTCTGAATCGAGCACCTTCCTTTGGTAGGGAAAATGGCAGCAGGTTCATCCCCTGAACGATGGCTGGGACGAAGGCACAGCCAGGGCTCTGGAAATGACCCCGCATGGGCAGAGATGGGGACCGTGCCGGGGCTGGAGCCGTCCCAGCGAGCGATGGGGCCGTCACTGCCATCAGCCGCATCCCACCCTTGGGAAAGGACATGGGAATTCTTCCCTTCAGTGGTAACTTCCCCATCGCACCGTGATGCAGTTTTCCCCCATGATTCAGCCCGCGTAGCTCAAATGTTACATTTTTTCCTGTTAATTTAGCATTTTCTGTTCATTTACTCTAGTTTTAGAGCTTTCCACCATCATCACTGGGGGAACCACGGTGTCTGCGGGATAGGACCACCTCCCCCCCACTTCTCCAGCATCACTTTTAGGCAGGGAGCCTCCCACCACTGCCCATCCCAAACCAGCAGGGCAGCCCCGGGCATCCCAGCAAGGAGCCCGACACCATGGCCACCATCCACAGAAGCCAGGGCTGCTATGGCACAGTGCCACAGCCGGAGCGCGCTCGCTTATCTGCTCTCCATCGAGCACAGGGCAGGTAGGAAACGGCACAGCACTCCGCTGGCAAATCCCTCACAAAGGTCTTTCTGAGTCAGTGGCACCAACTTCATCTGGGGCATTTCGTAATTAGACAAACAAAATCACTCTCAGTCTGGCTGCAATCTCCTGGATTAATTGAGCACTCGCAAACTCTTATCAAGCATCTGATGGCAAGTTGCTATTTGAGTTAGAAAAATACCTATTAGTTATTACAAAACTCCGAAGTTTCCCCACTCAGCTAATTTCTCAGCGTGATTTCCTGCGGCAGCGCTGGTCGGTGGTGCCGGCAGAGCCTGAACCTCGCACAGGCTTTTCCCCAAGCGGGGCAGGACGGGCCGGGATGGCCTCCAGCTCACTGAGACGCCGGGTGCTGGAGCAGAGTCACAAAATCCCATTTTCCCCTACGAGTGCCGGCGCTCCCAGGCATCGACGCTGCACGACCACCAGCTCCTCGTCCCTTGCCCAGGTCCCCACAGGCAGGATCACGCTGTTTCAGGGGTCCCGTTTGGCCCAGAGGGGCCCCAGGTCTCCATAAACCCCCGTCCCCGGGAGGCGGCGATGCCCCGCTCCTGCCCGGGAGGTTTTTGTCCCCGCGGGCCCCAGGCAGGGCTCTGCCACGCTTTCTGTTTCTCCCCAAACACAGGTTAAGATACCCGGAGACAGAAAATGGTATGCAGATGAAGGATGCTTTGCATGATTTGGAGATATTCAAATGAAACGCAAGATGGAAGAGCTTGCAGGATCGTTAGAGAAAAAAAAAAAGCAAAGCTCCATTATTTGAGTGCAGCCGGATCCGTGGTCTCCCCAGTTTGGCCACTTTCACCTCACAGTGTAGAGAAAGTCCTGGCATACGGAGCAATGAAGAATCCCCAAACCAGGCAGTTTAGATACTTTTCTTTTGTACGTGACCTGACTCCTACCACCGTTATCTTACGGTGGAAATTTCCTATGTTGAAACGTAATGCAAGATCAGAAGAAAATCTTGACTTTTACACAAAAGACCTGTTGTCCTAATTGGATAGGAGCAACTTTGGAAAGTGCAGATAAGGGAAAAATAAGTTTTTCCTACAGGTTCAGCAATTTTGCAGCCATAAATTGAGATGTTTCTTCCAGAAAAGCACACACAGGTATAGATCACCCAAATATCCAGAAACTGCGAGCTGAGGGGATTCAGACCAAGCAGGCCATGAGCATCAGGGTCCCGTTCCTGCTCACCTTCCTGGCGCTGTCAGCCTGCCAGGGCCGCACGGCCACTCTGCCGCAGACCTCCACCTTGCTGAAGGAGAGCATCAGGCTGCTGAGCAACCTGGAGACAAAGGTAGGGCTCGTTTGCACGGCTCAGCCTTTACGCGCTGCGGGGAAGGACAGATCGCTTTGGCGAGAACGATGCTGAGTCAAAGAAAGGTGCTGAGCGTGCGGCGCCCAGGCAAAGCGCGTGGCTCACAGCACTCCCGGGGGGCCAAGGGCGGGCGGGCAGGCGCGCATCTGCGTGTGCACATGTCAGGATGGATCCGCGTTAGCAGTTTCTCTAGCCTGATCGCTCCTCTCCTTTGTGTCTTGATAAAGGTTTCCTGTGACAAGATGAACGTGACAAATATTTTTGCTGGCGATAAGGTAAGAGAGGAAAAAAAGCTAACTCGTCCTTGTTCAAAAACAATCATACAGCCACAATGGGTACTGGGAGAGGCTGCCGGGGGCCAGAGGAGCGAATGGGGCAGCCAGGAGGCATCCGAGAAGCCCTGGGAGTCCTGCCTGTCCCGGTGCGGCACTGCACGGGAGCCAGGAGCCCAGCGCAAGCCCCGAGCAGTGACGCTGGGCTGCCAGGCTGCTCCTCGCTGCTCCCAGTGCCCAGCGCGGGTGCCCTCACCTTCCCACACCCATCTCCACCTCCAGCCAAAGCAGCATCCGCTGCTCCTGGCCACCCAGGAGGCAAGGAGGAGGCCAGAGGGGCTGCCAGAGAGGCAGAGGAGAGGAACTTCTTCCCTTGCCTTGGAGCGGTGTGTCACCGTCTCACAGACACCCACACGCGCCTATCGCACAGCATCTCGAGCTCCGGTTAGACATACTATCCCTCTTTAGCCCCTTATCTGGGGGAAGGCTCTTCAGTTAGCAGAAGATTTAATAGCAGATAATAAAGCCTATTTCTGCTCTGAAAATTGCTGCCTAAGCCGAGCTCCCCGTCACCAGAGTTCCTGTTTTCACAGAAAGCCGATGCCCTCACCTCATGCTGCACGGGTGGGCGGCAGCCAAGGGACACAGGAACCTCCTGCGTGGGGCTGGGGCTGAGCACCCCTTTGGGGGGGTCCCTGCACCCCCTGCCACAGGGACCAGCCCTGGGAGTGAGAGGAGACATCGGGAATGCTGCACAACCCGGTGCCCGCAGACCTGGCCGTGCTCACGGGGACAGGCTGGTCTCATTCGGTGGTGCCATTTGGGTGAACGCTGAGGAAGTCTGAGCAGGACAGAGCTCTCAGGGACCTGCTCACACTGCGGCATTGGGAATGCCCCCCAGGAAAGACATTGGATGGCTTTCTTATTACCACCAGCACTTCGCTTATTACCTCCTCATCTTCCACGTGTGACAGGGCTTTATCTACTCAAAGCACCTGACAGAGGCACCTCTTCCTTCCAGCAAACAAACGGGATTCTTCAAAAACTCATTATTCTACCGGAATAATCCAATAGAGCCTCTGCCTGCCCAAACCAGCTTCACTGCCGTGGAACCCACAGGGAGCAGCTCCCTGAGCATGTGGTCCCACCCATGGGTCCCACATTGGTACCCATGCTGGGAGTGCGATGCTCTAAGCACGTGGGTGCTTGCTGCGGTCCAAACTCTGCCACGACATCTCGCCAGCAGCTGATGTCACCCTTGGTGCCGGGGACGGGAACGGACCCGCGTGTGCACACAGGTGGCTGGGAAGCTCCAGGAGAGGCTTTGACATCTCGAGCCATACCTTGTGCCTGTCCTTTAAAACAGAAATGTGATATTTGCACAGTTTTAATCCACTGCTAATGAAGCCACAACTGTACAAAAGGGTTTCTAAAAAAGCAACATGCGATATTTTTTTTTCCAGAAAGCCAATGATACAGAGATGTTATGCAAAGCTGCCACAATCGCCTTGGAGAGCCGGGACTGCCACACGCACCTGGAGGGCATTTACCTCAACCTGCTCAGTCTCATCCAAAGGAAGAGCACAGCCTACAAGGTAAGGCAAGGCTCTGCCCTCACCGTGCACAGGCACCACACAGCCCTCAAGCGTTCTGCACGCCCAGCATCTTCCTCCATCACCGTTTTCGCTTTCAGCCAGCCCTCTCCCGCACCACCCCGAGCAGCCAAGACCAGGCTGGAGAACCAGCTCCCTCCCCCAGCAAGCATCCTAAAGGCTTTTTTTTTTTCTCCTCCTATTACAGGCACCATGTCCTGTGGCAGCAGGCAACACTACTTCACTGAAACAGTTCCTAGCGGACTTACACAGAGTCCTCCAACAATTAGTAAAAGACCAGAGCTTGAAGTGAAAAAACACCATTTGGGCTTTTTTTGTTTGTTGTTTTTTTTAAGCTATAAAGACACTGTATTTTTCAAAGATTATTTATAATAATTCTTTAAATAAATGTATTTTTGGATTAAATATGTTGGCATCGCACAAGCTGTTTCTTGGCCAGAAACTGGAAAGCAGAGGAACATGTTTGAGAGCTCAAAGGTGCCAGCTGGAGCACGGGGCTGCAGAACCCAGCTGGCAGCACCCATGAGCAGAGGAGCCCCCAGCTCCCAGGGAGACGCCCTCAGCCCTCTCCCACCACTCCCAGAAATGCCAAGGGGCCTGGGAGGAGGCCATGGCTGGGGCAGAGCACCAAGACCAGTCCAGAAGCAGTGGGGAACAGGCTGATGGCAACAGAAACTGCAGAGGAGGGAAGGAAGGATGGGTATTTTCTATCCCTGTTGTTGGGAAGGGGCAAGTTTGTGACTGGGGTGGAAGCCAGGGCACAGAGGGACAGTGCTGAGTCCAGTGAGCTGAGCTGGAGGTTCCTACATGGAACAAGGGCTTTAGAAATAAAGGCATTTAAACCCATGAAATCAGAAGTCATTTTTGTTACTTTGCCATATAAGTTGCAAGAAATAGTGAACAGAGTCCACAGGCACAAGGGTGGTGCTGGCAAGAGATGCCAGAGCAAAGAATGTGTCCTGCTATGGGGTTAAGGCTTGTACCAACATGAGGAAAGCCCATCTAAGCAGAGGAAAAAGCCCAAGAGAAGGCAGAGTGGAGAAGACAGGCCACAAAAAAGGCCTGCCACCGAAAGCAGTGAACTCAGAAGCCTGCACTAGCACTGCAGAGGGAGATGCCAGGTCCATAAGCTCAGCAGGCCCTTAGTTCTCCCCTCACTTTATAATCTATTTATAACCTATATTTATATTGTAACCATACTTATATATATGCCATTTATATATGGCATAGCCCTTTGTGGCCCAGGAATAAAGCAGCTCCAGCAGCAACAGCAGTGAAACAGCAGCAGGGAGCAAAACTGCACTGTTGAAGGGCTGACTCCAGCCTGCAGCAGACCTGGATGGTGGTTGAAGTCTCTCTAGCAACAGGGGACTGGCATCTTGCAGGTATTTAGGTGTCTATCGTTTTGCAACTTACTCTGGCACAGCGTGGGAGAGCACTTTGGAAAGTCCCAGGACTGTGCAGGGTTTGGTTCGTGCATCAACTGAGTCACAGTACTCAGGGGAGCTGCAAAGTTAGACCACAAAAAACCTGTTACCTGCTGCATGAGCAGGCTGAAATGTCTTCCTGAGGAAGAAATGCACTGCAGACCAATCAGTTTATGCAAAGGAAAAACAGAGCTGAACGTTTCCAACTACTGCAGGTAAATTCACACCATCTGCACGAACACAGGGTGTGACAGGCTTGCCACGTAGCACAAGGACACAAAGCCAGGACAGGGTGAAAAGCCCCATCAGCTGTACCACCCATGCAGTGCACAAACGCAAGAGGCAGAACACAGGCAGCACTGACTATTTCAGTGGACAAGGAGCTGCTCTTTCAGTCCTCTTCTCTTCCCCAAGGGCAGCTCAGGACCATGCCAGCAGAGGCTGGGCTTCAACAAGGGGCTCATTGGGGCACATCTCGTGATCCACATACTGGCCTCATCCCACCAATCCTCTCCGGAGTCATGCAAAGCATCCTTTTGTTCTGCCCTGTCCACCTCTTCCACAGGAGCTTGTTGCTCACTACCCCAGGGCTTGGCAATAGGGGTCCCCACGTACCCCAAACTCACTTCTCTAACTTCTCCAGTGCATGCTGTACATCACAGAGCTATACAGACCATTTTAGCTACCCTTCCCAATGTATCTTTCCGACTCATGCTGTATGTAGAAAGTTGTTTGAAAAACATGCACAGAGGTGGAACTAGGAATCAGGAATTTTATTTCATGGCATGAACATGCTCCAGGGACACAATACTGATATATACAGTGTAATGAATAAAGTTTAATAATAAAACAAAGAATAATCAGAAATAAACAGAGTTAGAAAACCAATAAATAGGAAGACAAATTATACAGAATAGCAGTTTTCCCCCTATATACAGGACTGGCTAAGCAGAACTGTTGAGAAAGGTGAGAGCTGGACACGTGCAGACAGCGTAAGTCAGTGAAAGGCACTAAGGACCATTTCCCCTCCTCTTAAAGAAAGGATCAGGAACAAGTTAAATATGAAATAATTCATTTACACAACATAAAGCATCAAAAACCTCAATGTTTAAGGTCAATGTTCTGGAATGAGGGGAATCTTCTGGTAGCAAGATGCTAAGATGAGCACACACAATATATATATTAAGGTAATATGATTTTTGATAAATACTATAGAGCTCATACTAACCTGGGATGAGAATGGCTGTATTAAGCTCTTAAAACCCCCCACCACAATCCAAACCCTTTCCTCATTAAAACACATTATGGACCCATTAGACATCCACAGATTGTCCAGGGCTACAGAGGGGGCCCATATGGCAAACCTGCAAGCCAGACTCCCTGGTTTTAAGACAGTTCCCAGAACTTTGACAAAACACCAGTTAAAAGGTAAGCCAAGCTGATAGATCATCATGACCATGATAGTGTTCCACTTAAAAGTCCTCTTGTAAGAACAGATAATTTGTCCTCCAAGTCCCTGTAACAGGAGGTTGCAACCAGTTTCTCTAATCTGCCAGTTACAAAGGTGTGCAAGCAATTATTTATTATGTGTTTTCACTGCCCCAAGGCTCACTTAAATATGTAGTGCGCTATAGTTTTCAGTAGCAGGGCTGTAACATTTAATTAAATCGTAAAGCATATGCCTTTATAGTTAGGTTTTAAATATTTTAAATGCAGTGTCATGGTTCACAGTAGTATCTCTAAGCCACTGATACCTGTCAGGTAAAAGAATTTTCAACAGTCTTTTTGAAAGCACAGTTCAGGATAAACTCCCTTAAAAACAGATCACTCAACGAATCTCAGCACAACAAGATACAATGCAAAGGGAAATACAACAGTTATCCCTGGTTCTGAGAACTAGTACAGGCCAAACCTATGCATCTGCTTGGACTGAGAACTGAGACAAGGCCTAAGACAAAACAGCCTTTAAGCCATTTTCAGTCTGTCTTGTTTGGCGAGAAGTATGTAACACAAGGTAACCCAACTCGATCCAAGCACACTCAAAGTAAGGGCAGTTCGTCAAGGGCAAAACCAGCCACAGCTTAGATCAGACAAAAACTCTTGAGTCCTTTAATCTCTTTAAATGCTAGGCTAGAGAAAACAAGTGCCAGTGTTTGTATTTGTATCTTGTATGAACTTAGGTGACAAAGCCAGGTCTTGTATGAACTAAGGTGATACTTCACCCCGCACCCCCACCCCCACCCCAAACAGAGGGTAGTATGTTCTCCTAGGTCATGAGCCTGAAAAAACACATTGGAAAAAAAACAGGAAAAAAGCTTAAAACTCATTTAGAATAGCACTGAATATATCTCCAGAGCAAAATATGCCCTTACAACACCAGTTTTAACTATTACAGATCCTGTTACTGTCCCGTTTAGAGCCAAGGTACATCCAGTTAAGCATCACGACAGGAAGAAAGGGGATAGCAACTTTTAACTACTCTAAGTACTTCACAAGAACATTCTGGTAAATGCAAACGTGGCTACTAGCAAGAACTCAGGACACCTAAAGAGCCGCCTTGTTCCTTCTGTCATGCTTAAGGACTCAATTTTTCCTATTAGTAATCACAGCTTTTTAAACCTCTAGGTAACATGAAGATTACATGGAAGTTACAGCGAATCACCACTGCCCGGCACAGGAACCATCAAGATGCCTGCAGCTGATGTGCTCCAGCATGAGTTACAAAGCACACACACAATCCAAAAGGAGATGCATTTTCTCTGTGACACAAAAGCAATGTATTAAAGTGGTATGTGTCTATTAGCAGCATAAATATCAAAGAAAAAGAGCAGCCACCACAAATAAATCGTTATCATGAGACCAGAATTTTTTTCCTCTCAAAGCATAGCCAGAAACCAGAGATGATACAATCTACACAGGAACAGCATCAGCTATTTCAGGGGATGTTACGGTTCTGGGAAAATTGGGCAATTCATGCCTGTAACAAAGGGCAGTCAAATTCACCCTCGGCTTAGAGTACCGGTTCAGCGCCCTTGTAGCCAGGGATGAGAAGATGGAGCCATAACACTCAGTCCCAAGGCTGAAGCCACATCCTAGTATTATAGCATCCCCCTTAAATAATCTGTGCTGTTCAGATCACAAAACAATTCACATACATTTAAAAAAATTCCATCTCAGAAGCATAAAAAGCAGCCAAAGCAATGCTGCAACACAGCCTTAAAAAGAGGGGGGAAAAAAAAAGCTCTTTTGCCTTTGCATCAAAGGCCTCATTCTCCACAGTGCCAGCAGATCACACATAAACAGACAAAAATAAAAGCACTACTTAGACACGCTTGTTTTCTGTTGCACTTAAACAGAGCATGGTCCCTCCCAGAAGTCTTAGACTTTTGTAGTTCATGTTTCCTCTACCCAACTACTTTCTTTGTACAGCAAGACAGCAAATGAAGGGAAAAGGACTGTGTATTTGATACACAATATGATCAGGTTAGTCGTCACAGCGAGGAATATTTAAATAAAAGGGTTTGATGCTCTCAATTCAAAGGTTTGCAGCAACCACATTCACACACAGATCAGTGCAACAGAGGACAATGGTGAAAGCTGCCAGTTATGTGCAAAGCAGGGCATAAATCAGATTTACCAGCCTTACATTTTAGGATTTCATTAACCCTTTTGAGCTAACATGTCTAGCACTTAAACACATATCTAGAACCCTTATTTTCTATACATTTCAACAAGGATTGCCAACAATAGTTTCCCTGCACAACACATTTAACACATGGAATTTCACAACCATCATATATACCGGTTTAATATTATGTTAATATAACATACAATACACGGGCAACTAAGGAAAAATACATTTTTT